TTGAGATATGCAAATGATATATTTCCATCCTTTTAATACAAATTTTAATTGTTTTTAATAGATTTTAACGCTTTTTTCTTGTATTACATACTGAAGACCCCTCTCCGATCACTACTTCAGGACACACGGTGGAGATCGACGCACACGATGCTGGCTCGCTACTTTGAGCTCCGCGAGTATATCAGCGCGGACGACGAAGAGCTGGTCGAGGAGATGCCATCGCCGGCGGCGAACCCCAAGCTCAAGACACTTCTCGTCCAGCTGGCCGATGCTCAGTCCGTCGCCATGAAGTTGCAGTGTAAAGATTTAAATTTGCTGGAGGCGCGAGACCTGCTCAACGGTCTGTTGGAGGTCATGACATCATTTGACGGCTATCTCGGTACATCTACAACAAGATGGAAACTTAAATTTAATTATTTTATAAATATTTTGTGTCCATGTTTGCAGCATCAAATGCTGAAACTGTGCATTCACCTGACTTTGAGTCGGGTGTCGTGAAAGTGCTGGTATCGCAAGCTAAAAAGCTGACTCGTGCAAAGAGGTTATCGCTACAGCCATTTCTCCACCGTGCTCCTCTACCGGTTCATCAGGAGAGGCCGACTAAAGTCGGTTTCGCTGAGCGAATTTATAAACGGCGCAAAATGGACGATGCACCAATCGCATACGTCTTGCTCGGTGCAATCCCACCAACATCAAACGAGCGTATGTTTAGCACGGCCCGGATGGTATTACGCTACGAGCGCAACCGCCTATCGACGCTGACACTCGAGATGATTTTGTTTCTAAAAGTCAATCATAAGTACTGGAACGTTAGTACCGTCGACGGTTGCATCTAGGTAGGATGTGGTGAACATGCACAATAATTTGCACTGATAATGTATTAGTGTTATGTTCAAGCTTCAGTTATTTATTTCTCTTTTCCTCACGCTATTTATTGGCGCACGTAAAAAAATAGGTATAAATGCCAATCAGGTTCCCTGGTTGGAAACAACCAATAGTATTAGCAGATGGGAAACAACATATGCTTTCTTTTGAGCCTAAGTACGAGTCGGTACAGTATTCGAGTGTATTACACTGCGCGCCAAGTTATTACTGAATGAACACCCACATTTTCTGCAGCACTTCCCCGATTTTAGGAGCTGGGCAACGCTGTTTAGATAAGTTGCTGGTTTTTGTAAAGAGGCGTTTAGAACATGTTTAAGTTTCGGAAAACTTGGTTGTCCAACGAAGCTTACTATCATTTTAAGCATTGCTCGAATGTGACCACATCGTCTTCGAGCATGATTTTATGCCCTGGCAATTTCCATAAATATTAATTAGCTACGACGAATGCAGATGCTTTTTTTTCGGATTGGGCCTGTTTTCTTTTCGAGTTTAGAAAGGTAACATTCAATTTATAAAAAGTCTTTCCGCTGTCTGTATCAACCTCAATAATGATACAAGGGTCCCACTACTGGTCAACTTGTGCCTGGATTCACTGGATACAAATTTGCGAGGATAAGCATTCTTTCTTCAAATACAATTTCTTACACAGAAGTCGTGTCGGCAGCACAATCCTTTTAGAGATAAGAGGATTCTATACTGCAACAGAAAGTAAGAGATCAGAGAAGACCCCTTTCATCAGATCAGCTTTCATGGCTGGTGTCTACCGGCCACGCTCAATTGTTTGTTTCTTTATCTGCACAAACCGCCGGTACAGCGTACAAATGCGCGACTTTTTTTCTATCATTTATCGGCGTTTGTGAGCAAATGCCCGAGCTTTAATGCTTCTATGAACAAGACGCCAGATTACATGAAACGAACAAAGCAACAGCAAAGACCGAGATATTTCTCGTCAACAACTCACGAATTTATCATACTCATCCATTGAGGAATACGTTTTTGCAGCTAGATAAAAAAAAATTTCGCCGGTGACACGAATGTTGACCCAGGTAGCATTACGCGTTTCGATCTACACATTATCGTGGATTAATTTGGTGTGGTCCGTCCATACTTCTATATGAGACCGCGCAAAACACCGTGACGCTAGTTAACCATTTTGCGTTATCGAGATAAACGCCGTTAAAGTTTGTCCACTGATTTTCGTATTTAAGTGGTTTTTAACAGGAAGGTGATACCTTCACATTGTCTAAATTTGGCCAGGTGTATCACCGGAGAAGATTCAGAATGGAGGAGCTAGTAGCGCTTCCTGACATCCCGCAAAGCCCCAGCAACGACTCTAGCGTCGACGACGACAACGAGGAGGCTGTTAGCGGCATGAGCGACTGCAGCTTGGACAGCGACTGGGTTCCAGAGGCAGACGATGGGTCAAGTGGGGGTGAGATCGCCGATTCAAGTGAAGAAGAAGTTGATGACCCTGGGGATACTAGGATCATTTTGATTGGCGAAGAACTTAGAGAGCAAGTGAGTCGGCTCATACGCGAAGATCAGTGCGAGCAGAAGTGCTTGACGGGCAAGGCAAAGGAGATTGAGCAGCTATTGTGCTCAATTTCTCAAATGACGAGTGGGGAGAAAAAGCAAAGTATCATCACAACGTTGGCGGTGCTTATGCAGACGGACACCGTTCTTCGTCATCGAGATCATGGTTTACGACAGCAGTTTCACTACTATCTTCCTATGGTTGGCCGTGTGTGTCGGTGGACGTGGTGTGCATGCTACGGCGTGTCAACAGCGACTGTCACGCGCTACAGAACGCGTATTAAAGAAGGCACATTTTCCATTCAAGCTCACGGCAATCGACTTAACCAGCACGCGAGTGCAGTTGACCTCCGCTGGCTGAAATCCTAATTTGAAGAAATTGCTCGCTCTGTCGGTGATGTGGTACCAGTACGCGTGAGAAAGCAGAAAACTGAGAACGGAGCCGTCAAACTGTACTATTCCGACGCAGAATACACTTTGCTGCCGCCGTATTTCACGTGAGATCAACTATACCAAGAGATGCAAAATTACGTTGAGCAAATTCGTTTACGCGTGCGGGAGCCTAGACCCAGCACCTTTCGCCAGTACTTGTCCAAGCTCTGCCCTACCATTCGCATCCTCTCTCCACGCAGCAACGTATGCGATGTGTGCAGCATTTACTGGGCACGCATGCGTAGTGGAGCTACTGCGGCTGAGACGAAAGAATTCGGAAAGCATACTGCTGCTGCGAGACTGATGAGGTACTGTGGACACTAGAATCATTTTAATTTGCACGTATGTTGAATGGGCGGATATTAACGTCATTTTGCTTTGTAGGGAAGAATACAAGAAGGATCTTGCGTCGGCAGACGAAGAGCACGCTGTTATCATCATGGACTTCAGTCAAAACCTCACGCTACCTAGTATCAGCAGCCCTCCGTCGCAATGGTACTTCCTGTCGCTGCGAAGTGTGAACATGTTTGGAATTTACTACGCAAACAAGGCGATGCAGTACAATTACGTGTACGACGAGACCGTCGCTGGGAAGGGGACTGACGAAGTGAACTCAATGCTGCACCACTTCATCCGCCGCATCATTCTACCTGCTGGGTTTCGTCGTCTCACAATCTATGCAGACAATTGTGGCGGCCAGAACAAGAACAATTACGTCGTACGAATGCTGTTGGCACTGACCCATATGTCCGACCTTGAGGTGATTAAGCTGAAATTTTTTGTCAAAGGGCACACTAAGAATGCCGTGGACCGTGGTTTTGGTCATGTGCGGAAGCACTTGGCCCGTTTGGATATCTGGACGACGGACCAACTTATTGAAGCGGTCAACGAGGCATCATCTACGTCTGCTCTAGTGCACATTGAGGCGGAAAATCATATTTTCAAAGAATATCGAGATGTGGTCAAGGATGCCTACAAGATTCTTGCCGGTATACAGAAGTATCAGCTATTTGAGATGCGCGAGGACACTCCAGGCGTAGTTGTGTGCAAGGAGGGCCCTGACTCTGACGCTGTCGTCCAAGATCTGCGCCAAAAGTATGACGGAATTGTGACGGATGCAACTCGCGTACAAATGCTTTTTACGACTGATCTCGAACCACTGCCGAAGCCACCGCCAAACTCTGAGAAGATTCAGACCATCTACAACCAGGTGCGTCGCTACGCTCCTGAGGAGTTTGTCAACGACCCACTGTACGACCCGCCCAACGATGAGGATGAACGTAAGGCACAAAAGATATAGAAGGCTCGTGCCGAGAAGCGCAAAGAGGCAGCGAAGAAAAAAAAGCGTGAGAGGGCGGCAGCGTCTGAGTCTGGAACTGATGTAGCAGGGGAAGTAACTGGTGAAGCACAGGGAAAGAAGCCAACTCAGCAGAAGAAGAAATGCACTCGTGAAATCGCGGACTAGCTGGTAACCAGATTGTCAGCAAATCAAAATGATGCTAGTCTCGAATCTCTAAAAATAGTATCTTCATTCCGAAATATACACCTGGATTTGTGGAGGAAATGTTTTTGCAAAGCTTTTTAACTGGGATTGGCTCCGAATTAAAGCTTCGGAGTGGTCCCAATCGATTCGTATGACAATTTTAGACAGGATTGACCAATAATTTTTTTTTAAGTTTGTCTCGGCGAATCGGAGACAACTTTTTCAAACCAACTTTGTGTGAAAACGGCTGAATGAAATTTTTTCCGCAAGGTCTCATTTTGTAGAGGAGACATTCAGCTTTGCGATGGGGTGCCTAACTCCAATTTTTTTAAATGGTTAACTATCATTAGAGTGTTTTGCGCGGTCTCATATGGCATTTCCAGTAAATGGATTCTTACCTTCGCTTTTGTACGCACTAATACCGGCAATCGGGGCAGAAAAGAACATCATTAACGACCAATCAATGAAGAGTGTTCTTAAGCTTACATAAGTTAAGTCATGGCAATACCAAGTTATGGCCTACGGATGTTGCGCGATTGTCGCCCCATGAATATAAAAACGATTTTTCTCTTCATTTATTTCGGCCAATGATCGCACCGGACTCATGTTAAACCACCTCAGTTTCCAGGAGCCAATCAGCAGTCCACACAAAGCCAGATCGTACTATTATCACAACGCTCCTCCAAGCCAGCGAACACCATGGTCAACGCCGCTGCCGACGCTAAGAAGAAGTGCGTCCTTTATCCCCCTTCTCCTCATACCGCATCCACGCTAACTCTATCTTTATTAACCTAATAAAAAGTGAGGGTAACGAGGCCTTCAAGAAGCAGGACTACTCCAATGCTGTGGCCAAGTACACAGAGGCAATCGAGATCGACCCCACAAATCACGTGTACTTCTCCAACCGCAGGTGCGTCCTCCATTTATACAAAAGTCCACCCTTCTAGCGTCACCATTCTGGCGACATCAGTGGGTTCTCTTCTCTCCCGCCAAGTAGTTTCACTTCAACTGACGTCACTCTTTCCTTACTAACTACCGGTAGCGCTGCTTACGCTGGCTGGGGCAAGTACCAGGAGGCTGTGGACGATGCTGCCGAGTGCATCCGTATCAATCCCCAGTTCGTCAAGGGTACGTGATATATTATTCAGCGTAATTACTATTTTCGGTGGGATCAGTGAAGCCATCTTAAAAAAAAAAATCAAGGTATTAATTTTAATGTTATAATGCACAGCTTACCACCGTCACGGCGTGGCTCTGAAGGGTCTGAAGAAGTACGACGAGGCTCTGGCCACGCTGCGTGCAGGACAACGCGTGGACTTTAACAACGCCGACCTGAACCGTCTGGTGACGGAGATCGAGCCGCTGCAAGCCCGCGCCGAGCAGGCCAAGCGCTCGGGCATGAACCCTGCTGAGCTGCTGAAGGAGCGCGGCAACGACGCGTTCAAGAGCGCCGCCTTCGAGAAGGCCATTGAGCTGTACGGCGAGGCCATCGAGGCCTGCAGCGACAAGCCCGGCTCGGCTCTGGCTCTGTCGTGCTACAACAACCGCGCGGCTTGCAACCAGCAGCTCAGCAACTTCTCGGGTGTCATTCGTGACTGCACGCATGTACTCGAGTTCGACGAGAAGAACCAGAAGGCTCTTCTGCGACGTGCGCTGGCCTACGAAGGCCTGGAGCGCTACCGTCTGGCTCTCCAGGACATCCGTGCGCTGCTCGCCATCAACCCTTCCATTGACGTACGTATAGTATTTTCGCTGCTATGTTGAAATGGTGCTAATATTTATAATTACTATTTTATTCCGAACAGATTGCCAACAAGGCCCAGCACCGTCTCAGCAATTACGTGCGCCAACTTAAGCAAAGCAACTAATTGCAACAAAGAGACACGGCAACGAAAGAGCAGCAAACGGTGATGGACCGATGTCGCCAGTAGAGAAAGACCTGCCACACACACACATGTTAACATGCAGGCCGTTGAATTTTCCATAGATTTTGCTTTGTTGCATTTTTTTTTCATTTTTATGAGGCAAATTTATTTTGCCTTCGCGTTATGTAGGGAAGTTTCGTTGCACTACAAGCTGAGGAGTCGGAGACTGGAGAATCGTGCGTGAAAGGAGCATAATACCCGGTCTTACGATTCGACCGAATGGGTTCTCGGTACTGCAATTGCACTGTCAATGGCTCGTGGCCAGTGGCTGCTTCCAACAGCGTTCGGTTTGTTTTTAGTGGTAAAAATGTCGAGTCCTGTTTCCACGAATGCTCAACCAGTGGCGGCGGAGGTTGCTCATGCGAAATTAACTCTGGAGCGAAGAACGACTCGAATGTTCGCGTTGGCAGCGTCAAAACGTCCAAAGCATTAAACTGACTCGGACTACTCTTTAGTGTGAGAAGACTGCTGGCGCTGCTGTTATTGTTGCTATGTCCGCTATAGTTGCATGATGGAAATCCCGTCCATTTGCCGTTCAATTTGCGAGAAGCAGAGAAAGAGGCCTCCGTCTGTGTATGCCGGTTCTTAGGGGAAGACGCTTTCTTCTTATTCTTGATGGTCACTCGTAATAATGTCAAGTAACGCTGCCACTCCAGATCTTCTCCAGTATCAACGCCTTTATCTCGATAGTTGCCACTGTTGCGGCCACTCGTTTGTGTAACTGATTCTGTTACGGTTTTTGCGTTTTGATGCCGCAACTTCAGCTCCAATTCCTCGATAGTCCGCTGAGCACGCTGCTGTTCCGCAACCCTTAGACACTCGATGGCATCTTGTTCGTTGCTGGTTTGCGTCTCCCTTTCCACCGCGGGTTTCTCTCTCCGGCTCTGAAAATCCAATTCAAGTTTTTCCAGTCGTTGCTGCAGTACTCGTTGCTCTTCTCTCCTCATCGTCTCGATGGCATTGACTTCGACACTCACTTGTGACTTTGTCTCTTTGAGCAACTTTAGCTGTCGCAGCTCCTGTTTCAGTTCAACCAGTTCCTGTTGCAATCGCTGTTGCTCAAATTGCATGGCCTCAAATTGCCGTTTCTCTTCAATTCGTTGTATTTCGCGTTGCCGTTCTTCTGCCAGCTGTTGCTGTCGACGAATTTCTTTTTGCCGTATCTTCTCCGCTTCTATTATGGCCAAAACCCTTTTACGACGCTGATATGCTCGTATTCGATGCTGGATTCGAAGCACTGCGTGTTGCAGCTCGCGCTCCTTTCGCTTCACTTCTTCATGTCGACGCATTTCGGCCTGAATTATGACCATCAATCGCTACCGACGTTGATGTGATCGAGTTTTACGCTGTAGTCTTCGAACGGCTTGTTGCACTTGCAGTTGCACTCGATCGATAAGTTGCCGAGCCTCGGGGTGGTTTCGCAAAGGGTGTTGAGCACATAAACGCACCGTCGGGGCGTGAAAGTACCAAAGCGTTTTGCCAAATTCATAGATTTGCCACTGGCAACTGTCCATGATCCTTGTGTGTAGCTCTTGAAGTGGTTCGCTTAGAAACGACTCCAAATAGTGTTCACGCTCGAAATCTAATTGTTGAATGAGAAAAAGCTTTTTGCGACGAATAGCAATCGGTAGTGCAACCTCCTCAGCTGCAAGTTTTGCCAATTGCGCAACTTGAGCGTCCTGGACATCTTTTCGCCGCGCGAATGGCACGATTTTGGCTGATACCTGAGCGAGGTTATGTCGACGCAGTGTAAGTTCGAACGGCATTGCAAGAGATGCCCGCGATGCCACAAGCCAGAGACGACGATAAATATCTGCCCCTGTGGCACCTCTATCGACAAGAAAGCGCTCGCCATTGATCTCTAGCAAGGTGTTTTCAGTTTGCACACTTGACATTTGCTGTAGAGCAGCCCGTGTGTCTTCGTCAATGGTGGGATCGTCAGGTGCTGGGATTGGTACTTTGCCCAGGACAATGAGCTCGAATGGGCCAGTGATATTATCTAAAGATTCGAGCAACGATGACGCGGACGCCAAGCTGCTGCCAAAGTGCAGCGGCGAAGAAGCTGGATGTCTGATCTCTCCGGCTTTTGATACAGTCTGGCCATCGTTGAAGAGCGTGATAGGACTCTGTGAGTCGTTTCGATCTTTGACGCTTCCCCGGAGTTCGAGTTGCAGGCCGTAGAATGACGAGACGAGAGTTTTATCGAGCTGTGGAGACGTCAGCGGTGGCCAGCTATGGATGAGGCGCACATGATACATGGCATCCAATTCGACGTCGACGACATCGATTGGATCTTTTGGGAGCTCTGTACCATTGTCACTCATGTATGATACCGATCGCGCCTTACAGAACGAGTGAAGCGCTCAACTTCGACTAAAACAAAATGGAGAATGGGCAAAAATAGTTTTCGAACAGCAAAGATAGAATAAAGTTGTTGAAAATTGAGATTAACCAAAGAGTTTATAGACTTACAGTTATTAATAAGCTTACTAATAATCTGCCGAAGTTATTACATGTACTCAATCATACTCGATTAAAAAGACAATTAATTACGGTATCAAAATAAATGCGCAATCAACATGGACGATTAAAAATACTCTAGCGGGTCGTCACCCTAGCTTAGATCTGGAAATGGTGGTGTTGCTGGTCCAGGGACGAAACCATCTTGGCCTTCATTTGCGTCTGTAAGTAGAGTGATCCTCCGACGGAGATTACCTTCTTCATCGATATACGTGTTGGCCTCGGACGGCGAGTTCTCCATAACATTCTCAAGATCTTCGAGTGCTCCCAAACTAAGTTGGAGTTCTTCGAAGCGTCGTACCCGTTCGGCAACTCGTTGGTTCGCCTTTTTCAACCCCTCCTCCTTTTCGAGCTTGGCTTGGTATTTAAGAGCGGCATTGGCTGCGGCCTTCCGAATGGACTCTTCGCCAAGTTGCAGAGACGCTTTGCGACTCGCTTGCATCTCCAGCTGACGCGTATCAGCAGATGTGTGTAGTTGCTCGTCTGGCATGAGATCATCAGCGTCAGTGATGGAGGCACCTCGCTGAATCATCCTCCGTGTCACGCTACTAGATCTTCGTAAAACGCCGTCTTTATCCATGTACTCGGCCTTCCGATCCAGTCCTTGGCCGAGATCAATGGAGGGAGACCTGAACGGTGACTTAAGCTGCATATACGGTGACATCGGTCGTGTTTTCGGGTATCTCAACGAAAACAGACAAATACAGGAATAATGTCGCTGCTCACGCTTCCAGTTGCAGCTTCGGATGGTAACGTCTATCAATAGTTGCAAAGCCTGAGTAGGACTTATGAACGGCAAGCATGTTTATTCTCTTTCAATAGTTTAATTTTCATTTTTTAAAATAATACTGTTATTAAAAAAGCTTTTACTGAATACATGCATCTCAACCTAGGTTCACACCAAAATATAATTTATTTCAGGTCTTTTTTTATCAGCAATTGCTTTTTATTTTATCCAATCATTACCTAAATTGTTCGTTATTTCTTCTAGATTTCGTACTACCGGTAGTACAAGAATTTCCCCCTGCCACAATTGGAAATCCTCCTGTGGCAATGACGATATCCGGTGACGTCTGCGCCTTCTTTTTCGAGCCTGTGTACGACTCCAACGCGCCACCCCCCGCGCCATCAGCGCCTCCATCTCCGTCTGCACCCAAGAAGCGCGGCCGCAAGAAGGTCGTAACGTTGGGTGGCGCCAATCGCCATCGATGCAAAGTGTGTCAGAATGTTTACACTCAAGCCGTAAGCACTGGGTATACAAACCTCCTCACGCACCTGCGCATCAAACACCCAGATTGGGAGGAAATGTTTAAGGTGCAGCAACTGCAATCAGCTGCCTCTATGTCGTCGGAGGAAATGGCAAAGAAAACCTCAACCCAGTCGCCATCGGCAACTTCATCGGCAACTTCCAATGCACCCAAGCAGAAACAAACTGCCGGACGGAAACGTGGTCCTGTGTACGAGCACTTCGAGGAGGCGCCGCCGGCGCCCGGCAAGAAGCAGAAGACGATGCGCTGCGTGTATTGCCACGAGGACACGCCGCAGCTCAGTGCTCGCCTGAAACTGCATGTCCACTAAGTGTCCGGAAGTTCCAGAGGACGTGAAAGCGAAGTACGTGGGAGCTGTGGGGCTCATGTCCAATAGGATTGAAGGCGTCGTGCACAAGAGCGCAGCAGCAGGCAAGGCAGAGCCTGTGTCACCGTCGACAAAGCCTGCAACGAAGTTGCCAAGGGCTTCACCTCTAGTTGCACCGAAACGCAACACTGTCAATCTGCGCGTCGTTGAAGAGAAACTCACCGCTGCAATGATTGCCACCAGTGCGCCTTGGAGCTTGCTAGACGATGTGAACTTCCGTGAGGCAATGGGAACCTTGCATCCAATATCGGAAAATTTCCCTTTGACTGCAACTCGTGCCCGCAACGAAGTACTGGATCACTTGTCTCAGAAGTACGACCGCGACTGCCAGGACATCTTGGCAACTTCGAACACAATTACATTGTCGATTAACAATACTGATGTTGGCACTGATGGGACCAAGAACGCAACATATGTTGCGGTGGACGAGTGGCGACGCGCCTTCGTGGTAGCACAAAGTAGCAACCCCTCGGCGTCGCCTTATGTTGCTGAAGTGCTATCTGTGCTGTCGACATTGCCGTCAAGCAGCTCAGAAGCGAAAATTTTCTTGTGCACTCCAACGTCGGGAACTTATGCGCGTGCGCGTGTGGAGTTGCAACGCGATGCCAGCGAGTCGCACAAACCTATCACTCTCATGGGCGTGTGCATGACGCAGCAGACGGTGTTGCTGCTTCATGAGCTGTTGCAATGCAGCATGTCACTTGAAGAAGCTCTTGACAACGCTGCACTGATCGCAGACGCTCTTCATGCTCTGCCATCGCTACGTGACCGTGTGCTCCAGGGCATCTACGCGGATAACGATAATGCGGACGCTGCAAATGCCTTTGCTCAAGCGTCAGCGGCCAACTGGCGCTCTGTTGCCATGTCAGTGAAACAAGCAACTCGTTTGGAAAAATTTCTTCGTGTTGCAGTTGCGCAAGAATCAAAAGATTCGTCATCATCGGTGCCGCTATTGCGTCCACTGGTTGATATGAGTAACAGCGACATGACGTGGAACACACTACGAAACGCCGCTCAGTTGCTTTTGCCACTAAACTACATTTTTGCACTAAGTGAGCTGCAACCCACAACGTCGGGGCAATTGCTGGCCCTGTGGATTTGGCTTTTCGGTGCCGCAACACGCTCGCCTCTTCTTGATGGCAACTCGCACCCGCTGGCCACAAGCTTCATGCAGCGTCTCGAATGTTACGTGGAAGAACATTTTATCGCTTGCATGGTGCTGGATCCTCGTGTGCACGGCGCTGGACTGAGTGTGTCAGGCTTGCGTCGTGCTCGTGGCGTCACTGTCCGTGTGGCCAGTGTGCTGATCCCAAACTTTAACGAAAGCAACTTCATCCGGTCCTACAACGACTATGCGAAGCAACAAGGAGACTTCGGGGAGCCTGGTGTATGGAACGTTGCCAATACGTCCAGCCCCATGGAGTTTTGGGGCGACTACGAAGGTGATCCAGTGCACAACCAGCTTGCTATAGTGGCAAAGACTGTGTGCTCTTACGTGCCCCATACTTGCTCGATGGAAGAGATGTGGTCTGCACACGCGCAAAAAACCAAGACGATGAACACAAAAGTGTCGAAAGAACACGAGAAGTGCACCAAAATTCGTCATGGTATTGCACTCAACGCAAAGGCAACTGCGAAGAACGTAGTGAGTAGATTTCTGCCACTTTTTGCAACGGAAAGTGAGCCGCCAGTGGAAGAATTTCTACAGTTGAATGCTGTTATTCAAGGCAACGATGAACCCAACCCCCGCTCACGTAACTTGACGGTGCGTTCAGTAGTCGAGAGCATGCAAGACGGCTTGGAGGACGACGTGGCGGGATCGGACGTGCGTTCGACGGCACTGGATGCGTCGTGGTTTGACATCAGCTCGGCTGGACTGGACAAGATCAGGAGCTCTGTCGAGAACTACTTCAGCGCTGTCATGCAGGAATAGGGAGGCTCGTGGAAATTTGGTGCTGTAATTACAATTACAGGTCCGAAGTACTTCAAAGTAAAATGGAAAATGTGGAAATCGTGGTTTGAGTTTTTAGTGAACAGTGCGTCCAATTGCAATATTTCTAATTGATTTTTAGCAGCGAATCCTCCGGATATCTATATAATATAATCAATTTTCAGGAAGAAAAGAGAAAGAACCATTTCTATCAAGCTGGATATGGGATAAGGATGCGTTTTTAGAGGTTTCATTTTGAAGCGCCGCTGTTGCGATTTGCAACTTGCGGATCTTGTTGCGTCTGTGAGGCATGGGCCAAGTTTGCAGCAACATCATGGCGCGCTGCTGTCAATCCCGACGACATCCCGGCAGTCACTACAAAGACAACAAGGAGCCACTCGTGGTCGAGGACGAAAGTTGGAAGCGCTGGAGCTCCTACAACCTCATCCACAATTCTTCTGCGACTACATTGCAAGACTACGAGAAGTACACACCTCCAGTTTACGTTGGCCCAACTCAACAACCAGCTGAAGCCGTCTGGGAAGTTTAATCTAGCAACAAAGTAATATTCATTAAGCATAAAATCCTTAATGTTTTCACTTACGTGAAGATTTCTTACTTTTGGATTTCTTCTTCGATGAACGTTTACGCGATGAGTTCGAATTGCTTCGATGTTTTTCAGTATCGTTGTCTTCCTCCGCTTGATCGTCATCGTGTTCGTCTTTTTGCTGCTGTTCTTGCTCATGTCCCTCGTCATCTACCAGAAAGCTGCTATTCGCCACGGCCCCTCGAGGGCTCGAAGCTGACGACGGAGCCAAGAAAGAGTCGGATACCTCACTGGCGCGATCCAGCTCGGTGTCTCGGAAAACCCTCGTATCCTCGCGATAAGACCCAAGCATCGAAGCATACGAATCGTCCACAGACCTTGCTGATAGCTGCGTCAATCGGTCGAGATTAAATGCTTCTCCCTCATGTACATACATTTTTGATTCTTGATCATCGTCCTCATTACTGTCTTCCTTTGCACTCCCAAAAGCTTCTTCATCTTCTTCGTCGTCCACTATTTCCGTCGCTTCCTTGTGGACAGCTAGGACTGTGCTGCGGTCACTTAGGTCCCACACCAACGCATGGCTTTGATCTTGCCCCTGACTTTCAGTTGCAGGTGCGACATCATTGTCTCCAAGAGATTTCATGGACAAATCCTCTTCATCCTTAACTTGTTGACGTCTTTGGCGCCACGCTTCCTCTTCAGCTGTGGTGGCTTCAAGCTCATCTTCTCGTTTACCTAATAGCTTGTCTTCTAGCGAGCCATCAAGGAGATCCTCGACGCTGCGCTCCCGCTTGGAGCAGCAGGAGCAGATATTCCCCATTCCTAGCTCACCAATTAAGGCCAATGGACGGCTCAGACAGGATATGTGCGTCTCTTGAGCCCTTTTACAACGAATAACGCACAATTTAGAACGTTTTATATTTTTAGATTAGATAGTGGCAAAGTTTTTTTTTTAGTTTGAGTCCAGAGTATCCATAGCGTTCAACTAGGAAAAGTGCTTGAGCTTCTTGGTCGGCGAGTCGACGTTTTCCATCACAAGTTTTGGCTTTCGGCTCTTGGGTGGGAGTTTGTGCTTCCACAAGGTGCAATTGGCCAAGTACTTGGGACATTTATCGTGGCGATTGGTGCCTCGACACTTTTCGTTGCCAGTTTTTTCGAACCCTTCGCACCACGTCCACTGATAGTGTTCGCAACTCTTGACCTTGTGGCCTTCGAAGCGCGTAGGCACTACACGCACAACTACAGGAGCCACATCTTCCATCAACTGTTTCTCAAGTGCCGTGGGTGTGAACGATTGGCCTTGACTGGCGCAAAGAGCTTGATGCGCTCGGCGTTTCGCTTCGGTGCAGCGATTACAGATCTGGAACGAGTGCATGAAGCGTTCTAGATCTAGAACACCCACGCCATTGATATCTAGAGCGTTGAACAGAGTTTGGGCATCTGGGGTCACCACTACGTTGCCGTCAGCTGAAGCCGTGGCTGCAGTGGGACTACCAGTCGACCCCGGCGTGTCTTCCTTCACTTGATGGTGAAGAAGGAGCTGCTGAAACCTCGGTAAAGGCAGTACCTTAGTGTTGGGGTCACAGAACTGGTGAAAGATCTGAACGAGCTTAAAATCGGCGATATCTGGCGTGATCGCCATACGTGCCACCTTGTTACTCGCAGACGATGCTGAGACTGTACGTTGAACAGGAAGGCGAGGCTTAATAGGAGCAGCAACTTTGATAGGCAGTGGCATCGAGGCGGCTCGACGATCCATTAGTGCAATGGGTACACCGTAACTTGCGTTCATCTTGAGCATCGCTGCAGTATTAGCCATAGCCAGGGCTGCTGCGAGGTGGTTGTTGGCATTCACTGGAGCGAACGTCTCTGGGTGCAGAAAGAAGGGCTGAATTTGGTGTCCATAGCTGTCCATAAACTGGTTGGCAGCGGCAGCATAACCCGAAGGTGAGAAGTAGTCGAAAGGTACCCCCGAAGCATTGGGTACACCCGAGTTGGCTACAGTAGCCATGTTATACGGGGCTTCAAAGAACATGGCTTGACTCATGTTGGCTGGCATACTGTTGCTGAGCCCAGACCCAGAGCCTGTGAGATCAAATACTGGTTGCTGTGTCGTGAGGAACTGAGAAGTGTCGAAGATCGAGTTGAACATATTGATGACGTCTGGGATTTCCTGTTCATTCATAAAATCTCCCGTGTCTGTTGTCGAAGTGGGAACATGTTGTGGCATTGCATCGTCGACTCCGCGCGTCGGAGACGGCGCTGCAGAAGACGTTGACGTAGTGGACAGCTTCGAGGGCGAATCGACCATTGCAGACAGCTCGGCGTCAGTAAACAGAGGCAAGATGTAGTCGTCTGAAAGCATGAACGGTTCGTCATCGCCACATGCTTCTCCTTCTTCATCTTCTTCATCGTCTTCGTCTACATCGGGTGGTGTCTCTACCGGCGCATGCGTCTGACTGATACGGCGTTTACCACGTGGAGACGTGGTGAACCCCGGCTCATACACGCAGGTAGTAGACAAGAGCGCAAAGCGAGCCGGCAGCGTGGCTGTCGGCGTGCCATTCGTCTTCGCGTTCTCATACTGCGCTACCCAACTCTCCTTGGAGTTGTTAGCCATGTTCGTGTCTATCTTGAGTCCCAGCTTGTTGGTTGGTTCCTGCTTAACTTGAATACGTTGTTCGTGGGGCTCTTCCTTGATGATCGGGCTGAGAGGCTCCAGCTCAGTCACATCGAGAAGATCGTCGTCATGGCCTACAGCTGTAGTCACCGCGAGGTTCCATAAATCTGAAAAAGCATTTTGAAAGCATCAGATTTCTATTTTTGAGGAGATTGATTCAACAAATTTGCTTTACCTTCCACGCCTTCATCGTTGTTGGGAGCGAAGAAGGCGTCGAAGTTTAACAGATCTGTGTCCATATCTTGCATCGTCGCCGTCGCTAGTTCCATGGGTGTGGAGTGAGCTTGCCGGCCGAGGAGCCAGATGGCTTTTGATCAAGAAGGCCACAGGCCATGCTGATCAAAAACAAGATATCTATTCCCAGCCTTGTGGCCGCCATTGCCAAAATTACTTCCTGTCGCTGGCCAGCTGGAGTCTTATGTATCCGGACTGCTGGAGCTATTAGATAGAGATCAACGTTGCACCGCTATTTCAAGCGCGTGAGCCCCCCTATTTCCGCTACCCAGCGTCTGGTTGGCGTTGACCCGATCAAAATGCCGCTGGGCAGCAGACGTCAGTGGCTCATTGAGGATTGAGCTCCGTCGCTGAAGTCTCTTGCCAACCGCGTGCGCCCTGTTGAGTCGAAAGCAGTGTGGCACTGGAGGAGCAGAGCCATGTAGCCACCTCGAATCCAGCATTTGGTCCCTTCCTCAGACTTTTTAGGAGCGGATTCTATCGATTACATGTAGTGATGTCATATCCTGTTCGTCGAACGTTGCAGGGGGGGGGGATCCGTTGATGATCCGGAGAAACAAGTTTGGATGAGCACACCCAGTTCAACGGGGTATGTTGTAATCTAGGTTTAAGACCCGACTATTTATGGAGGTTTGTAAGGGTCAACTTGAAGTGAACCGAATGGATACAGCAAAAACTATTATGAGAGTAATACACTGCCAGTGCAACCTGGAGTGATCACCTACAGTCCACATGAGCTCAGCTCATTGAGCTTGCAATGAAGGCAATGCGATTCGCACTCGATGTACGAGGCATCACGCCACTGGCAAGTAAACAACCGACAAAGCATCCTGGATTAGAAACATGAGCTGATCATCGTGGTGGGGCCTTGTTTAGTTGGCTCGCGTTGCTCACGGACTCGACTCTAGGGATGAGAGCTCCTGCAACGTTGCTCTTAGCTCGTCGCATTGTAGACATCTCGCGTGAATGAAGTTCATTGATCAAAATCCACGCCCAGTGGAGAGCTTCCCGAGTGACAGTGTGAGCGCGATTTTTTTTTTTACTTTTGCGAGGGATATTGTCGGATATCCAACTATCTGGTCGTCTAAGAAAAATCTTGCCTCGTCACTATGGGGAGGCCATCAACAGCCGCGCACGCAAACACACACACAGACACTCGAGCGAAACGATGAAGCTCCTCCGCATGTCGGCGTGGATGTCACGCCGGCTCAAGGAGAAGAGCACAATAACATTTGCCTTCAGCTGAACAAGCAGCTACAGCTCTATTGCCCGACTCATGAGTCAGAACGATAGCTTCGCACAGAGCACAGTACCGCGCGAGCTCCGATGCACCTACCGCAGCAAGCCGTGCCCAAACGAGCGAGCTCGCAAGCGCAACGGCACACAGCACAAGCTGTGCCAGTCCCATCGACTCAAGGCCAACAAGACCCAGCGTGATATGCAGCGTCGTCTGCGAGAGCAGCGCAGACAACAGCAGCTCGACCGACAGCTCGCAGCCATGCAGGTCAACACCGATGATTTCCAAGCTATGGTCGACGAGTTTTTGAAGGCAGATATCCCCTTGGAGCTCGACACAGATGACGATCTTGATATGTGGGATGTACCTGAGCCGCTAGAGGAACCGACCGACCTAAATCCTGAAGATATTGAGCTATTGATTGCGTTATTGGGCACAAGTCGTACTGCGTAAGTTGCTGGGGCCGCTGATAACAGGTCTCCTTCCGACTGCTCAAGATCTATATTCTACACGTCACTAAATATGAACCAGCCTGCCAAAGTGCAGCGCCGATCTCCGTCCACAGGCTATAATGACCATAGATAGCACACACTAGCAAAGGCAACAAAACCACTATACATGTCAAAGCGAGAAGTTTAATCAAAGAATGAATGTTTCTATCTGCTTGTCCGAGCCTTGCTTATTTCAAAGTTTAGTACTGTACCATACAGTCCCCCTGAAAAAGAGCTACCTGCACTTCATATACCCCTTGATATCGGAATCACAGCGAAGGAGGAAAATTTTTTTTTTCCAGATCGCATTGCTTAGCCTATGCAAATTTATCAGACGCCCCCGTACGCTTATTGAGGGGGACTTCTGTACAGTGTAAAGAGTACATACAGTACTGTACATGTACCGGTAAGTTACTGTAGTGTACTACATTGTACTGTACTAGTGAAAGTCAAGTACAGTAGCAACCATTTCGAGTATACCGTTAATCTTCGCGTACGAATTGAATTTGTATTAAGTATAGTTTTTCATTGCACGCAGTACTGTACTTGGCGCTGGTTCATCGTTCTCCATTCAAGTTGATTTTTTTTCAATGTTCGTTAGAGCGTCACGGACCAGGCTTCGTCGAACACAGGTACTGGCGTCATCATAGTGGGCGTTGTGGGGGATACGGGGCCGAGCATGTTCTCGTCCTTGATTGTCACCTGCGCGGGTTGTTGCGTGCATGCGCCGTCGGTGCCAAAGAGCAGAACTTCGAGAATCCGGACTTCGAGCAAGTCGAAGTTGCTCTGGAATGTGTGTCCATCGACGGGCGCGGTCGCGCTTTGTGGGCTGTCGGGGCTCAAGCGCGCACGTTTCATCGCGCGGATCCCGGTCTTGGGCGTCTGTGGGATGACGAAGTCTCCATCAGCGGCTTGCTGCTCAAGAATGCGCTTCTTGCGCTTGTGTAGACGCTGCTGGTTGGCGTTGGCCTTGCGGCGGTGGAAGTCGCACAGTTTGTGAAGCGTGCCGTCCAGCTTGGTGGCACGCGGCGCGTCGCAGAACTTGCTACGGTATGCGCACTGCATTTCGCGCGGCAGCGGGGCAACAGAGGCAACGGGCATAGCGACAGAAATTGTAGCGAGCTGTTCGAGCTGTTCGCTACGCGATATTTTGCGGAATGACAGCCATGGCGCGCAACCTTCCGCATCGCCGAGTACTATTCGCGGGCAGATTCTTTGGTCAGAAGAGGCTTGTCGACTCTTGAAGACCGTCGCGGTGTGGTCAGCAAAAGTGTGTTGACGGGGATGCGCCTGTGGTACAGTAGTTGCGATTGCCCCCCCAGGTGATGGGCCAATGGAGTCACTTGGGGCCAGTATGGCGACCAACGAGATCTTGGTGTGCGCCACAGCTCTGCACTATTAATAGCAAAGGAATTGTGCTCGCTTGGCGGCTCGGCTCGTGTCAAAAATGGGAAAGTTGCGTCAACGCTAGCCGAGCCCGCCAAAAAATCCGTACTCAGTGTAGCACTGCACTGTGCAGGGTTCGAGAAGACCGTAGATTCTATGGTCCGCTGCATCCAGCGTGCTGTTTTGGTCGACGACGAGCTGTTGTTGTTATCCTCTGCTTGTTTTTCCACTCGAAGGGGCATTTGGCTTACAGCAGTGGAGACATCACTCACTCCGGCTTGAATCCTATGTTCGCTGCTCAACGAATGAGTCAATTTCCGCTGGATACAGTACTGTACCGAGTACAGCGCACTCGCGCTCGCGGTTTTGCTCCGAGGAAGCAAGTCGCGATTGAAGTGAGGGACGCACATACCGTCATTACATGGCGGCTTTCCAAAGGCGAAGTGAGCAGCAGTCAGTTCAGAAGCTGACTGGCTCGGGTTCGGAAAGATGCACGAGCCGATATAATATATACTGTACCGTGACGATCCGCGTAACTGTTTTTGCAGTTTTATCTCGGAGCGATAAATTGTTTGAGTGGAGACTTTGTGGCCTCTGCCACGGAATCCTTGTGACCGATCTGGCCAATACGTAAATTAATTTTAATTTGTAGTAAGCTGAACTGGATTATTGTTATTCTACGCAACAACGAAAAATTCCACGTCGTAGTTCTAATCTACACTGTGATCGATCCCTTATCATCCACGGCGCTCGATGACAGATATGCGTCGAGCAGCGGCAACGTCTGTGGCTGCATGTCAATAAGTAGCAGCTCCAGGATGTCCATGTCTACCAACCCGAAGGTGCTTGAGCTCACAAGTGGCACTGAGGGGAAGCAATTGAGATCCGTGGATGGACACTCAATCGTTTCAAGACTAAGGCGGGTCTTCTTAGTAGTAGACCCACGTTCCTCGGACGTTGACTCATTGTGCTGGACACGAACGCGCTTCTCGCGCTGGCGCCGGAGTAGCCGCTGCTGATTCAGATTCGCCTTTTGTCGGTGAAATTCGCAGAGCTTGTGGAGCGTACCATCATGATTAGTAGCGCGATGGTTGGTGCAGACTTTACTGCGATACTCACACTGCATGAGGAGGGAGGTGGAGGTGGGAACTTCGTCGTAGAAAGCGAACATATTACGCGAGGAATAGTTGTGGTGGCGGGCCGCAAATCGAATAGTGAGATGACAGAGTCGCTGACAGGAGCGTCAAGTATCTTCAGGAAACAGAGGATTTTTTTTACTGTTAGTACTGTCAACAGATTGCTACAGTACTGTAGTGCTACTATAGATCGGACTGACCGAGTATCCAGCACTTACTTAATAAAGAGCAAGTACTGTAAGTGTATCTATCTGGTTAGCCTGAAATCAACTGGGGAGATACATGTATAGTGAGAATTTGCAGAGTAGAACTTCTTCAGTACTCAAGCTTCTTTCTACTACCCCCGGGGGGAGGAGCTCCGCGCTGCAGTCACAGTGGCCCAAGAATCCTCACGGAAACAAGGCTTTCCTCTTCGGATGATCGCACTCGTTAACTTTTTCCTGCTCATGATGAAAAAAATGACTGGATTCTGCAGACAACCGCCAAGCGTACGAATCGAGCGCAACGAAGCCATCTCTCGATTTGTGCTTCGAAGTCTGGTCTGTCGATGGTACCCCCCGCGGGATGGGCTGCTTCACCACAGCACACAGAGTGTTGGTCTCAGACCAATGGTCTGCTGCCCGATTGGAATCTCGGTGTGGCAACTTACATAAATTGTGGAATGGTGGTTTTACCACTGTAGCGCCTCTTCCACAGCCTGTTTGTGCGCAGGGTCTCTCAGCCTCCAAAACGAAGAAACTCTCTTCGTTTTCTTCAAGAAAGTGGCGATTTTTTTTGCTAAAGCATTTGTAGTGAATGAAAGTAGCTGTGCAACAGCAGGACTTTTTTGAAAGGTAAAAGTTAAAATTTGCCAATGTATAATAACTGCTGTTGCTAATCAGGCTTGACACATTTCAATCGCACCAACGGAGATCTTGCAGGAAGCAGGTTAAAAGCTCACGCTAACCGTTTGGGCTAAGCAAAATACTACTCGAGTATTAGCTTTGTGGACGGTAATACTGCATTACCCCCTAACTTTGCAATTCGTTGAGGCTCCAAAGTTTGAAGCACTTAGAATTTGTAGGTGCACGTTTTGGCATTTGTGACGGGGGGGGGGTAATGATTGCAAGTCCTCTGACAGAAGCGCTAATATTGCGGTATTCATGAGCAAAAGAATGTCGGAGGCTCGCTCATCTGAACTATTTTTGTAGTATTAAATTGATAAAACCGCAGCGAATTTGTTGACAAAATGCAACAAGGAGTAAATGGTTATTCGTCAGACACGGTTAAGGCAACATAGTTGGCGTCCAAGACACATCCGGTGGGCATGTGTATACGGCGATGACCTACCGGTTTGGCGCTGGTGGCGTATTTGACTGAGACGGAGCAAGAGACGCGGCTGGCGTCGACCAGCGGCTTCGTTTGAGCTGATGAAGTCGATGTGGTATGCTGAGGAGTCAACTGACGAGACGCTGCTGGCGTATTCGTCTGGCACGGAGAAGGCGGGGTTGAAGTCGAACGCGGATCCGGTGGGTCTGTGAGGAACGGACCGGGCACAACTGGCGGGGGCGCTAGTGGCGCAATTAGTGTCTAACGCGGTTGCGGTGGGGGCCGATGAAGTCGGCAATGTACGGCTCAAATTTAACTGCGGAGGCTCCGGTAGCATACTTGGCCATCACGGAGCCGTCTCTCGACGTGGACCCTGGAGGTGAGTGTATAACCGCTGGTGCCTATTTATCCTCTGCTAAATGACAACAAGTTGCTGTTGATATTGATGAACATGGCGCCACCGACGCCATCGCTGTATTCTACGGTGCCCTCCTCGCGTCATAATAGACCAGTTGTAGAATGACACCACAGGATTATTTCAAGTGTTTTTGGGTCACACCTGCATGTACTTAATGATGGTTGGTTTCAGACGGATTTAATTTAATCCATTATTACCGATAAAATAGGCTCACGTGTCTTTTCGCGGTTTTACTGAGTCCGAAATGTTAAACTACAAACCTTGGGCCAGTTTAAATACTTGACCGATGTTTCTTGTATTGGTCATCACAGCAAAATCGGCGGCACTACACTCGTAAAAAAAAGCTGTTGCATTTAGAAACCGCAACAGCAGTACAGTGAATAAAGACTTGTTGGCTTGTGAAAAATTTAAATGTGAATCCAAATCGCTAGCACTGCTTGCATCCTATTAAAAGCACAGCCAGTCTACTCTATAGCCTACACGATCACATGCATCACACAAGTACGTGTACCTTCTCTCCTATTAACACAATAAATAGCAACGGACGTGGAGCATGTGACGTATCCGTACAAATTATTACTGTATGCTTACTGATCTTAGGTACCATACTTTTCCATTGAAAAAGTATGGTACCTAAAAAATGGGTAAAGCTTACGGTAAGCTTACGGGACGGAATTTAGCGACTAAACAAGATCAAGGAGTGGACACGAGCGAGTGTAGACCAGTGCTGGCGATAACGACGTGATTTACTTTTTACCACCCGTGGTAACTGTAATGGGCCCAACTCCAATTACATAAGTAGGTAGATATTTCTTTAGTTATTACATAAGTAGGTAAGGTGGCACACGGGTAGTGTGTGCCAAGGTGTCATCATCTGATTGGTTGATAGTGAGGAGCCAGACTCACTTATTAATCAATCAGATATAGACATGTGTTTGAGTGGTTCACACGAGGCCAGGGGTAGCCACCCTGGTCCTAAATAAATCAGAGTTGAATTTGACACAAACCTAAGACTTGGTTTTATTATTGCGAGCTTCCTCCGCACTATAGTGTAAGCTAGTAACGGTATCTCTTACCCCGTTACAGTAACGTTTTACGAGTTCTTACACGTTTTTACGGATCTCGAACACAAGACAGAATCCTTCATCACCAAAAGGCAGTTTATTCTGTGTTGGTGACTGTGGGCGCGTCATGACGTCCCACGACTAGGAGCTGGCGCGTCTCCGGACTTACGTATTTGGCGGTAGGAGGGGGGGGGGCTCAACACGATCTTCTGCTTCGTCCCGTCGCTGGTGACGTTCAATGCATACATGCTGCTGGTGGATGTCGGTACGGCGTTAACGAAATCTGGCGCTGTTCAACATCCTGCGCTTCCCAGTGTTCGTGCTGTCACGAGTACCGAACAGCGCGGTGGAAGCGACCGTAAGTTTGATCGTCTGCGTAGCTACTTGGTGGTCGAGGAGCGCATCAGGGTGAGTGAGGGCGGCTTGATCGAGGTGAGGAGCTCGATACAGGGCGTAAATCCGAGTCGGACGCTGCCTCACCGGTTGACGACAAGATAAATGACTTGAAGATCGAAGAAGAAAAGGCTCTGACGACACCAGTGGTTGAGGGCTTTACGCTACGTCACAATGACGTTTCAGCCAGAATGGAAGGGCTGCATGTCATTGTAGGTAATGTGGGTAGTGGCAAGCCCATTTTGCTGGCTGGAATCTTGGGTGACGCCGCTGTAGCTCTGGTTCAGTGGCAATTCCTGGCAAGGTGAGTACGAATCACAGCAGCCGTTCAGCCAAAACGAGACGATGTGCACCAACATCACATTCGAACTGCCGTGCGACGCCGACAAGTACGAGGAGGCTCTGCGCGTGAGCTCACTTAAGACGTACCTTGACTGCTGGAGGCCGTACGGAGATCGGCGTGAAGGGCCTCAATCTTAGTAGCATCTAGCGCACGCGTGTGGCCATCGCTTGTGCAGTGTATCAGGACGTCGACATTTATCTGCTGGAAGCCGTTCTGTCTGTAGTGGACAGCCATGTGGGCTCAAGGCGTGCTTCAAGAAGTCGCTGAAGGGCAAGCTGGTGCTGCTAGTGGCGCACTCGCTGAGCTTTTCGTGAGCCATTGCGACCAGATTGCTGTGATTGCTGACGGAAGAATCGCAGAGGAAAGGTCGTTCAAGAAGCTGATAATGGTATCGAATAGTGAGAATGAAGAAGACAAGGAGGACATGACGTCAGCAGAGTGTTTAGAGAATAGCTTGGCTCCTTCGAGTGATGAGCGACGAATTCGAATGATTTAAATGCTGCAAATACTTGTTAGCCAACGTTGGCACCTTGTATTGGGCAGAAAATAAGAGCGCTACTACGACTTGGCACGGTTTATCTATAACTACGAGAGAGGAAGCTTTAGCGTCCGGTCAGCTTTTACTGCGATGCTGCTACAGCAGGCAGCTCCACCCAGCTTGAAAATACCGTTTCTAGCGTAACTGGTTGAGCTCTCGAACCCGTCAAGAGCTTTTCCTGTGGAAACGATGGAATTTTTATATCCGGAAGCTCTTGGCTTCGGTTAGCTACAGGAACTGGCTCCAGCTCTGGGTCGTAAACATACCATTCCTCGTCACCGACGTTATTAACAATATCTCCATCGTCTTCTATATCGTCGATGGCGTCCAGCCAGAAGTCCACTGCTCCAACAGTCTCCATATAGTCTACATCAGTAACGTCAACCAGAGCGGACAGCGAGGATGTTAAATCGGAAACTCCGTGCATCTGCTGTTTTGGTCTCTCTGCAGGGCCAACAAGCTCCTTCTGTCTTCTATACTCGCCGATATCACTTTCCCGACGATTGCGTTCGCGGACCTCATTTCGAATGATGCTGATGAGTCGAGCTTTATCAAACTTAAGTTTATTTTGCCGCGGTGTCTGTATCAATTCCAGTTCGCTAAAGTAGCGCTCGCATGTCGCAGTGCTCACTGCGACCGACAGAATTACTTTCGCTAGCTGAAGAAGTTTACTGCCCTTGCCGTACCACGAATCCGCAACGTGGACCCAATAATCAATTACCTCATTCGGTTGAAGGACACCGGCCTGGTCAGTGAAGTCAGTGTGCTTCTTCGGGGTAAATTTGTCACGCAACCACTTGTCAACATCACCTACGAGTCCATTGATGTTGAGAACAACATAGCGGCGATAGTAATAGTCAGCAGCAGCGGAGACGCCGTCTACTGACATTAAAAAGACAGTATTTTCGTGAGTTTGGATTAAGGCACGCGTATGGGTCACGTAGAGCGGGTGCAATGCGAAAGCAAGAAGCATCAGCGGTTGCTCACAGCTCGCCCATCGCTTATTCACCACTGGGACTAGATGAGAAGCGAATGGACTGGCAACAAAGGCAGCATTAATTTTTTCAAAGCACCGCACGACGTCCGCCATTGTGTTGTCATCTTTTTGTAGTATGTAGAATGCTTCCGACAGCGGCCGAATGACGCTCTCAGCATCGATTAAGTTCTCCAGAACAGCGGATCGCGAAATACATGTAGCGATGTAGGGAATTTAGCATCATATCGATATCCGTGGGCCAAATCTTTTAGCGCCGATCTAACGCGAAGCAGGCTTGCAAAGCATGCCTGCATGCTATTCCAGCGGGTCTCACACAGCATAATAAATACCAAGGTTTCCCGATACATTGCATAAACGCGCTCGTTCGCACGCACGAGCCACTTTGCCAATGAACTGTTCAAACTTGCCGTCGCAGAAGCTGCCTGCTTCGTCTCTGTCTTGAACACTGTCTTCAAAACGGCCTTAACCAAGCTGTTCACGTCATGAGCAAAGTACCGTAAAAACACAATATTTGGCCATATTAAGGCCAGTATTCGTCTGGCCCTTGCGCATTGACCCGCACTGTCAGTAACGACGGCACCGACAATCCATCCTAGTGTCAACGCTCTCATAAGTGATCCCTCCACGTGCTTGGCTATGACAATGCCATGGTGAGCTGAGTCGACTGGTAGTAACTCATGCTGGACAGCAATGCCAAACATGCAAAGTTGGCATGTAAGAGGGTGACGTCGAGCGACATTCTGCTATACGTCAGAAAGGTAATTTATCCGCCCGCCAGTATCCTCTTGCTTCTCTTGCAGGCTCTCATTCGACGCAGTTTCTGCGCTTTCTGCATTAATTTAAGGATACGACCTCCAAGCTCTTTTCTTGTAGGTAGCTCATAGCGCGGCTGCATCCGTGCGAACAGCCTATTGGTTGAAACATGTTCGATGAAATAGTCTGGTAGCGCACACTCAGCTTGAAACGCTAGAAGATCACGCTCAAAGCTATGTTGCTCGTTCATAGACTAAAATAAATTACTCATGTGGCTTCAAAGCTTGTATTGCCTGATGTCTCATGCTCATCGGGCACGAGTTCTTGGCAGGTGACACTTACCATCCGCTTGATTATTTGGTCAAATCCGTCGAGGTCATCAAGATCCGCTCGGGTACTCGCAGAGAAACAGCAAGCGTTTTACAAGCCTACAGCCTCCCATAAATGCAATGCCACTTAGAGCCCACGTAGCTGAGCTCTATGACGCTAAAAGACAACGCGTTGCAGTGAATTGGCGAATATCTTAACGAGCTGCTCCTCACTTTGACAGTACTTGACGCACACATTGTCGCGCTTAACTTCATCTCTGATGAAATGAAAATGTATGCTCAAGTGTTTGTTTCGGCGAGAAAGCCTTAGCCTTTGAGCACAGAGGGGTGACATACACAAGATGAGAAAGCGCGGTTTGCTGTTCTAAACAGCATAAGAAATCGTAGCGAATAAATTATACCATAGTTTATTATAATTAAGAAATGCACCTTTGCGCATGTGATGTAACTAAGCTCATTTGAAACGTTTTACACAAATTCGAGCCAATCTTGTTCCGCCCAATAAATCTTTTTCTGGTGAGAAGGTGACCAGAGAAAGCCAAGTCGCCACATTGAGTCTCGCTAGAGATCAACCAAGCCGCTGGAGGACAAGCCGTGCTCTCCACACACGAAAGCAAACACGCTCCAGCTCACTAGCAAAACGCGCAATGTATATTTCATTTCATGTACTCTGATGTATCCTTATATGCTACCGCTCTTAATAGACCTGTCTCGAATACCACTTCTCTTTGGGGCAAACACTTCATTCTGCCAGAGCAAGTGTCAAATCTGCGAGCACGTGTAGGTAGGATTCCGCGGGTAATCGCGCACTCTGTTGCAGAGTATCACCAATCTGGGACCTTTCCGTGAGCACGTACCGCAGTAATAGCTAGACGTTCCACCTCACCGCACCGAACACACCTTGCACTGCCGTTGGCGTAGGCGCTGGACGCGAACGTCCGTAGTTTTGGGTCATCGTATGCTCGTCCTGTACTAAAGCCGGTAGCTCTGTATTGCCATGTTGTGCGGATGGTCGTCGGGTTTGCGTAAAGCTCTCTTCCTTCCTACGATGATCTGTTTGTTCCTAAACTTTGAAGCGCAAATTCTTCCTTTTCGTTTTTTTTCAGTCGTTAAGCGTTCACAGGGGCCATATCCACAAGCCCGAGAAATAATCACTGATAGTAATTGTTGAATCTATAGCCAAAACAGCATAAATTAGCAAGCATAAACACACCATGTCATCGTAGCATCGTACCTTACGGCCATCTGCATTGAATATGCCTGAAGTCATAGCTGGTCATGGCGGTCGGCACCGTTAATGTAACGCTGGTACGCTGCCACAAGACCTGGAGACTGAACATCATGAGACGCCGCCTTTTAAACGAAAGACCACAGAACACAGGCGATGCTTGTTGGATTTGGACCGTGCGGCTGGAGCAGCTGCGGTTCAAGGCGGTAGAAAAGACCGGTTCGGCCGCCGACTATACGGACACACAGGAGTGGTGGCACGGGTGGCTGCCACAGGAAGATGGTTAACAGAGCAAATATCACTTCTACATTCTCACAGTATAACCTCTGTCTAACAGGTTATGAGCCCAATGGTTCATACTGTTGCCACGGACGAAGTCCAAGGCAAGCCGGAAGCAGAGCCTAGTCGCGAAAGGGCAGGCAGCCAGTACGGCGAAGATGATGAAGTCAAGAAGGCGGACGACGAACCGAAAGGAACGCAGGACAAGCTACTAGACCTACTCAAGGACCTCGCAGTGCGCATGGGACGCCTGGAGGAGTCGCAGGAGCGACAGGAGGAGAAAGAACGCAAGGGTCGAGAGAGCAGCGTTTTCGGGTCGTCGCTGGGCCTGGGCAGAGCCATGGACAGGCAGGCCCTGGACCAGACGCCACCGCGGCGCACGTCGCCTGCCGTCTCGCCGGCCACGTACTTCGGGATGAAGCAACGTGAGTACCGAGATGCAGCAGCGAACGTCGAGATGGCTCAGGCGCCACAGCCGGCGCTGCCGCAGCACTATGTGCCGCCGCAAGCGTATCGAGTGCCACCGCCACCGTCGCCAGGACAGGGATTCGCTGGGTTACCTGACACCCGGCAGAGAAAGCTGGGGATCCGGCCGTTCGACGGAAAGGAGCTGTACCATGGGCTAGGGAGCGGTTTCCTGGCGTGGGGCAAGCACTTTGTGCGCCAGATACAGTTCGCCGAGCGTGCTAGTGGGTTCCAGTGGACCGAGGACGTCAAGGTTGACATCCTCGGTCACCATCTTAGCGGAATGGCCGAGAGGTACTACAACCAGCAGGTTGAAGGCTGGTGGGAAGAACAGCCAACGCTCGAGCATGCGATGCAGCGGATGCTGCACACCTTCGCCACGAAGATCACACCCGCGCAGAGCATGAAGATGTTCACGGCACCGAAGAGCTCCAAGAGAAGCTGGACAGAGCACTACCTATACCTCGTGGCAGTTAGCGAGGCGTGCGGCGGTGCGGACAACCTGGTCCTAGACAACATCGTGCACTACGCGGATCCGAACATGCGAGTGTCGATGCTGTCCAGGCTGAACTTGGCACGCACGGACTACCTGCGCCAAGCGGAAGAGCTGGCGCACCTCGCCCAGTCGACGGAGATCGAGCTGCGGGGCAAGCAACTGGGGCGAGACGTGGTCAACGATGTGCACGAGGACGAGAAGGACGACCGCAAGTGCTACAAGTGTGGTAAATCTGGCCACTTGCGGGCGGCCTGTCCGAACAAGAAGAAGAGGTGGGGCGAAGGCGCGGACGCTGACTTCGTGCTCACGGTCGAGGAGTCGGCCACAGAGACGGAGGACTAGATCCTGGACAGTGGATCCAGCCGTCATCTGGTGAATGATCCGAAGCTGCTGGAAGACGCGGAAGACTACGAAAGTCAATGCGTGGCAGCGGACGGAGGAGCGCTAAAAGTAACTAAGCGCGGGAGCGTAATGCTCGTAACCACGGCGATGGGGAAGATGATCAAAGTGCGGCTGCTGAACGTGCAGTACGCGGAAAACTTGGAAAGGAACATCATATCGTACGGGTTGTTGGAGGCGAAGGGGTACGGACTCGCGTACCGAGGGAAGCACCGCGTGGTAGCCGGCATCAACGGCGGGCCGGCGGTGTTTGACGTCGAGAAGACAAACAACGTTCTCACCGTGCGTGCAATGGAGTCTAGAGACACGGGGCGGAGGGCAACGTGTTGATGTCGGTGTTGGCGGAAGGTGAAGCGGACGTCGGCAGGGACGTGCAGACCGGGCCGCTCATGCATTTCCACCGTAGGTTAGGGCATCTGAGCTACGACACGATCATTAAGATGGCCAAGGACCCGGCATCCGGGATTGCACTCACGGACGAGGTGAGGGCGAACTGCTTGGCTTGTGCCCAGGGCAAACAGACCAAGAAGAAGCAGTCGCGCAAGGACACCGGGGCTAACTCGCCCATCGACGTGATCGGAGGAGTCATCTGCTCCGACCTGAAGGGGCCGATGACTCCGAGAGATCGACTAGGGAACCGATACATGGTCAACTTTGTTGATCATCGCACCAACTACTGCAGGGTCTTCTTGGCGAAGACTAAGGACGCTGCGGCACAGAAGTTTAAGCATTTCATGGCGTACTTTGAGCGGCAGTTCAACTGCCGTATACACGTGTTGAGGACGGACGGTGGTGGAGAATACAAGACCCTGGATCTCTTCTGCAAGGATACCGGAATCAGGCGGCAGATTAGCGAGCCGCGAAACCAGGCTAGTAACGGCAAGGCGGAACGAATGCACCGCACCGTTATGAATATGGTGCGGAGCATGGTGTTCGCCTGTGGCCTTCCGCTTAGTTTCTGGGGGGATGCTGCGGAATATGCAGCCTATATCCTAAACAGGAGCCCGACGAAGGCTAACCCAGGATCGAAGTCGCCACTGCAGATGCTCACGAAGAACACACCGGATTTGAGTGA